AGGCCCGGAAGACACAATGATGAATGATCCATCAACCTGGCTATAAGGAGATTGAGGTTGGGGAGAGTTGGGGAGTGTGGCAAGACACAGAGGACCTCCTTCGTATAGAAATTAGTGAAAAACATTGACTCCCACCAGACAGAACCACCTGTTTTCTGTATACACAGTCTGTATGGGCTCTGCTCATGTGCTCATGCTAGCCTCTCTTTCTACATCACCCTCTTCCCGATTCCTGCCTCTTCTTCACAACCCATCCTCAAGTTATACCTCTCCTGATCACTGGATTTAAGACATCACTTTGCTCTCTATGATTCAACAGCACATAGTGCCCATGCTGCTAATGCAGCTCCTCTATACTGCTGTTCACTGTAAAGTTCAGCTCATACTTTTACTCTTCCTTACCAGCCTGTAGGCTCCTCAAGTACAAAGCTACATTTTCAACTCTAAGGATCCTCAGAGCATTTAATATGTTATCTAGTGTTCAATAATGCACCAAAAAATACCCGAGAAGTGGAATTCAATTCAACAAATCCTAACCAACATCTAGACATAAGGCATCTTTTCACACGCTACAGAAAGATGTGAAGCTAAATAGAGGGTTTTACTCCAAAGTGAGATGGGGCCTTTAGAGAGCTCTGGGCAAAATATTGATCTGCTATCATAGTCCAATCCTAACGTATTTTGTTATAGGGTTGTTTCAACATAGTTTCTTTTTTTTCCAATATAATTTCTTTTAACTAAAAATTTTTCCTCGTTTCAACAGAAGGTGGCTGCTATTCATAAATTGCTAATGCCTTTCTTAACTTCTTTTACCTACTTTACTCTCCCACTTGAATCTTATAAATGAATTGAGATGCAGATAGTTTCATGGACCAGTGCCATTCTATGAAAAAGAGCTCTGGTCTTCTGTAAGAATAGTTCCCATTTACGGAGCCCCTGATAAGGACGTTTCTTGTGTACATCTTTCTCAGAAATCCTCACAGCAATCTAGAAAGCTAAGCATTATGACTTCCACCTTAAAAATAAGGAAATAGGAAGTGAGAGAAATTATATCATCTGCCTATGGTTGCTTAGTAGATCATGGAGCTGAGAAGTGAATGTAGGCCTCCTGATATTGAAGCAGCTAAAACCATCTCAGAAAGGTATTCCATTGACCAGCATGTAGGTTTGATGGCTCACTTTTGTGAGCCAGCCCTACATCAACATCATGCCTATTGCAATATCATGCAGCAGGAAGTAATACACATTTCTCCATCTTGTCAGGTGCCACTCATGGCCCTCAAGTGCTGTCCAAAAGTGCCCCTTCATTCTGGACTTAAAATAACTTTCTGCCTTCATCCTTTTGAGACAATCTGCCAACCTTTCAATCTCATCAGCAGCTTGTCTCACATCAGAAGTGCCAGTCTCCTTTAAACTTGGAGAGACTGACCTGGTATGGGGCAGTAGGAACCTTAGAGTTTCTGTTTCCATGTCATATCTTCTTATGACTTTTTTGTTTTTTCGTGTGCATTTTCTGACAAGGTATTTCACTGTCTAACTGGCCTGTCTATCCTCAAAACCCAGACTGGTGATTCCCTGTAGCAATGCTAAGTCAACACATCCTTCTTTATCTTTATGATTCTAGCAATATGAAATGTGACTGAATATACAGACTGATTCATGGATCACATTGTCTCCTGTTCTTGCAGTTGTGGAGCAATAATATATTTGATTTTAATCTTTGGTCTTCAGGTAACCAAATGGGTGACCTTGAACCGGTCTCTTCATTTCTCTGAGGGGGTGGAACTGAGTCTCTCTGGAGAAATAAGTCTGGGTAATTTGACAAATCATTCTTCCACCTTCTGTAGAATATTATTGTCCCACTGAAGCTTTCAGGGTTTTGGTCAAGTGTTTTATCATTAGGACTTGGGTGATCTGCTAGAGAAGTATTGGTATCAGACCAGTATGAGACCTTGGAGAACTCTTAACATTTTGCTAATGAAGAAACTAAAACCCAAGTGGGTTTCTGGGACTTACCATACCCCATAATCTGGGACTCAGTTCCCAAACTGATGGCCTTTGAATATACAACTTCCAGCCTCCAGGTCAGAAATGGACCTTGATATTCACAAACCAACCCTCTTGCCTTCTTCAGTGGACTCTGATTTATTATGATGCAGCCACTCAGCAAAAAAATGTGTAGTCAGTTGTTTTCTCAGCAAATTTACACAAAGTTGGAGATACTTTCTGTGATTGAGAATACAAACATTTAAAATTTCAGGCGTTTGGAGTAAAGTGCCTTGTTCAAAGTCATCAGGCAAATGGTGGACAGAGCCAGAACTGGAAGTGAAGCGCTCCAGAGAGACAACTGGAAGATAATGGATGGTGACAGGCCATTCAGACCATTCTTCTGGCTTCCTGAAGTCCAGATGGACTCCCCACAGTGTCATGTTGATTGATCGAAGCACCAGTGCTGAGATGACTGCAAATCCCCAGCACGTGGATATAGCTGCACATTTGTCTCTAGGAGGCTGTAGGTTAGAACATCACCTTCCCCCTTGAAAGCACAAGTAGAGTGGCCACCAGCTAAAGAGGAAAATAGGACCCTAAGGAGCAAGTTTCATGACCATTGGGATGTCAGCAAGAAAATGGAGGCAGAGAGAAAAGAGAGTGTGTGGTATTTTTCCCCCAATAGGGTTTTTGCTGTCTCTTAAACAAATCTGACCCTAGGTATAAGCTTGCCCTTTTTCAGTCCCAGCTTCCCTGGTTATAAAATCATGTTTGGCAACTGCTCTGAAAGTTATTAAAGTTGCAGCAGTAAACTATGGGAAGCCAGAGAATTTCAGACAAAAGTTATTGCATCAGTAACTCAGAAACTAATTCCTAAAACTCTTGACACATTTATCCAGAGGGCTAGTGCCAATACAGAAATGGAAATCATCATCAAGGGCCACTGTGTACCTGGAATTAAAATCCATCATTCCTCAGAGCAGAGAGCTATGATTGTGGAAGAATATGAATAGTCATGCCTTTTCACCACCATCTTCCCTCAAAAAGAGTCCTTTATTTTTCAGAAGAACAAGAAAAATTCTGCTCTCTTTGTCTGTTTTTTCCTTAAGAACCCCTCATTTACATTTTCTTTTCAATTTTTTTTTTCTTTGACAGTTCCACATTTAAACGGAAAGCCCTCCTTTTCCTTATTCAGTTGCACTGGTTTTATTTTGGATAGAAATCCTGTTGGGTACAGTAACAGAGAACAAACTTCACAACAGCAATAGTCCCTTTTACAGCATCTATTGTGGGGAAACTTAATACAATTTTATTAAATGGTGGAGGCACTGGCTCCAGTGCTCAGAATTAACTACAGAAGAGCATAGAAAGGGAACAGCACTGCCTTCTTCATCCAGCAAACCTCATTGCATGCCCAGCAACATGGCAAGAACCAGAGACACACAATCCCCATCCAGGAACACCCCCCTGAAAGACCATAGATTGCTTTAGGTGATGCCTTCCTCACCAAAAGTTAATGAATGGAAAAGATTTGATGGGATCCCATGTTAACAAACAAATGGAGAAATGAGCCCTCTAATTCAGTGTTGGAGGACTGACAATATCCTCAGAGTTTTAAATGCATGTATGCTTTGACCCAGGTTCTAAGAATTTGTCTTAAGATAAATTCACAGGGCTAGCCTCAGCATGATCATAAAGAGGAAAAACCAGGAGCAATGCACAAACTGTTAAAATGCAGTCTTTGACCTCATCATGTAATTTATATTGATTGTCTTATGACAAACCATTGAGGGAGCATGTGTGTGTATGACCTTATTTGTGTAAAACTGTAGTTACAATGCTGCTACAGAGGTGTTTACCATGGTAGTCTCTAGATGAGTTTCCAGGTGACTTTTACTTTCCTTTACCAACTTTTCTGAATTTTTAATATTTTTACACTTGAAATTTGGGAGGGTGCTTTAAAATTTTTTTAAACAAAAAGCTAATCTTTCCCTCCGTTCCTTAGCACTCGTATTACCATACCTAAGCCCAACCTAGTGCTAAGGCGGTATGAAACATTGTGATGAGTTAAGGTGAATCCACATGGCAAAATTCATCAAATTGTACACTTTGGGATGTGCAATTTATTGTACATTATACCTCAATAAATTTTTTTTTCTTTAAAAGGAAAGAAAATATGAAATAATCCAGGTAATTTCCATTCTCCACACAAAGTTGTCAAAATAATTATATATTTTAAAAAACCTGAATCAATGTTGGAAAGTAAATTTGATGTTCCAATCAGTGACAGGAGGCTATTCCAAGAGGTTAATAGCCTGAGTGAGGTGTAAAAATGTTCATTTAGCTTATTCTCTATTCTCTGGCTGTGTCGGTATCCTTGATTATAGACAGATGCAGAGCTCACATTTGACCTGCTTCTGTCTTCTCCTGTTTGCACCTTTTTGCAGAGTCCACGTCAATCTTAGGTAGCTTTTACCCCAAAATACATGCTTCAATGCACTTTAATTTTCCTGCAGTCAATAAATAGCACTTGCTAGTTTTCCTTAAGCAACTATATAGCAAACCCAAGGATTCTGAGACTTGAGGATCAGATAAAATTCCAAAAACCAAACATTCTTTCCAGAGATAATTATGAATACACTGATAAATGCTTTGAAGACTATTCCTTCACTCTGCTGGCAGATTTTCTCAGGTGTACATATTTTTTCCTATATGAAATAGTCCAAAGGTCTGGAGTTGCCTAAAATGTAAGACAAAAGAAACACCAGTGGCCACAGTAGGTTTAAGAATTGGGTCTCTGAGTTAGTTGGACAAGAAGGAAATAAATGTGTGTGTGTGTGTGTTGCTGTCAGACTGACCATCCTCAGAACCACTTAGGGTTCCACCTCTTCATACAGAATGGAGAACATGGGCCCTGAGGTCAGGGTAGGCATGGGACCTGTCTGCAGGTTAGATCTGCTTCTCATCACTGTTTTTCTGTGTTTTTCCCCTCTGCTTTGCAATGCAACCAGTTGGACTGTGCTGCAGGGAAGAATTGGGCGCCCAGAGAACCCGTTCCGAGTGGCCCTGGAATATATCTCAAATGGAAACCGAAGCTTATCTGCAGTGGACTTCTTTGCCCTAAAGAACTGCAGTGAAGGTATCTGAATCTGGCTTTCCCCCTCCACTCCTTGGTAGCTTGTTGTCTTAAATAGGTCAGTATTCTGCCACCATAATTAGATGAAAATGTGCACACTGATACAGAAGTGTCTCCAGTGCTTTGGGTCTGATTCTGAATATTGCCAAGTGGTTCACAGCCCTGCTGATCAGTTTTCAAAGATTGAGTTATAATATTATATCTACTTAACTTGAAGCTATATCAAATAGAATATAGTCTTTGTTGGATAACACATTAGCTTAACTTCCCTGGAGTCCAAATGCTTTCAGCTATGGTTTTTGTTTTGTGGAAATTTTCAAAGTTTACAAATGAATAGAATAGTGAAATGGACTCCCATGTACCCTCAGCCCAGTTTCAAAAATTATCAACATTCTGCCATTTTTTTTTCACATGTATCTCCATCCCACTAACTTGATAATGATAAGTGCTTTATTTTTTTCCCCCCTGAGGTAAAATTTACAATTAAGTATTTTTAATTATTTGATTTAAGCTGTTGTTAAGGGACAATGTGGGAAATGGTTATATGTGAAAATTCTTGCTTATTTTGTAAAAATCATTAAGGCATGTGTCATTGAATTCCTTTTGCATAACTCCACATTGTGAATTTATTTCAAGGTTTATTACCAAGAGAAGACATCTCTCTCCTGAAGAGTAATTTGTCAGTTTTTTTTTTCTTTTTGTCTTTGTTGCCAGGAAACTCTGAGCTAAATGCAATACTCAATCACGGTAAATTATATCTGTGTAGTTATTTGATAAACTTATTTTCCCTTCCCTCTACAGAGTTTTTGATATTCTATTCCTATTTTCAAGATCATTTTTTATATATATTTTTCATTAGACATTGCTCCAAGTGTGATTGGTATGCAGGAGAAGACTGCTTATTGATACAGATATGAGGTTGATCTTTCCTTGATTCTTCAGAAGACCTAGGGTCATCATTATAAATAGCCTTTATTGTTTTTCCACATGTAAAGGGTATATAAGATGGACTTGAATTATGCTAATCTTTAGGAAACAAATTGCTTTCATAGCCACTCTTCTCCTGCCATGCCTGCTTCTTCCTAGAGGTTCACTCACCTGTGCTATGGAACCTGTGGTCTGGAGGCCCAGGAATGAAGTATGGACAGAAAGGGAGTCTGTGGCACTCCCAGGCCTCACCTCTCCATTTAGAATGTTCATCAGCAACCATGAAGCCTCATAACACATAGCCATCAGTCGTATGTTGAGGCCCAGTTTTGAATATGAAGCTGTATACAAAAGGGACTCCTTTAGGTAGGGACCCTACTGACCACCAAGTTTGTTACCTTGCTGTTGCTCTTCATTCATTGCTGGCCTTGCGAGAACTTTCACAAAGTGGTTTTCTTTCTTTCTTTTTTTAATCAAAACTTGTTTATGTGTCAGAAAAAGAAAAATCTATCATAACATGATAGATTGAACTTCAGTTCAAATTGAAAAGGTGCCTAGCCTGTGATGTGAGATGCTGTACAAGAAACATGTGGTTTGGGAGAAAGCCAGGAGCTTGTACAAATATTTCCACACTCAACGAACTTAGGGATTTGTGAACGTCTCTGGACATCATCAGTCCTCACAGATGTCAAGCATCCACATACTGTCTAAAAGAGGTCATGTGTTGAAATGGAGCCAGTTATCAGGAATGTGTCAGGAAGAAGGTATGAGTTCCCAGAATTGGCCTAATCTCATTTCAGCAGCATCAGAAGGGAGTAAGAGGCTATAAAACTCCAAGTATTAGGTCCAGCACAAGTACTCCTGCAAAAATTCTTTGCACCTTTGAAAGTTCTCAACCAGTGTGCGCATTTTTCCTTCCTTACTCCTACAACTTCCTTTCACCTACAGTATTCTCCCTCTGTAGTTTATCTTGCATTTGTTGCAATCCATTGCACAGTTTACAGGATGTGTTTCTTTTCTGCTTCTCTACCCTCACAAAACCAAGAGAGTTAACCTCTCTAACTTTCTCTAATGGTCCAGAAAGTGTTTCTTCTGGCAGGACACTCTCTTAAGGAGGGAGAAAAGAAATCTGTCTCAGATTCCTTAGGGAAAGTAGACCTTTCAAGATACCCAGGAAGGTTCTCATGGCCCAGCTACCTTTCTTCAGAGGCTCCAAGTCCAAGAACAGATGGTCTTCATGGGGAAGCAGGTGTCCTCTGTGCTCCTTCTCAGGTTTGGAATCCTGTGACCACCAAGAGGTATGAAAGGACCACTGTGGACATGTGAGGCAGAGAACAGAGTGATCCCAGTGTTTCCTGAGAACTTCTAACTCTTCCTCCTATAATGGAACAAATTCAAGTGCACATCAGGTGGTATGGACAAGTTGAAAACATAAGAAGTATCCTAAATCTACCCTCATATATTTAAAGAGAAGGAGTTGTTTTGGAGGCATACCCAAGGCCTATTTGGTGTAGACAAACATCTGTGTTTTCTGAGATCATTACTTTAGTTAGGTCATGAAGGGGAGGAGCTAAGAGAAGTAGTACATTTGAGGGAGCTGATCAGGCTGATGATATGCTAGCCAGGGATGTTAATAGGTTTGTGGGATATCTAGCCTACTTTCTGCCTGGGTTCAATCCCTCGGTTGGGAAGATCTCCTAGAGAAGAGAATGGCTACCCACTCCAGTATTCTTGTCTGAAGAATCCCATGGACAGAGGAGCCTGGTGGCCTATAGTCCATGGAATCACAAAGAGTCGGACATGACTTTCACTTTCAGCTTTTCAGCTTGTAGGGTATCTGGTCTCCTTTCAATAGACTTCTACAACCCTTCCTTGTCCCACAAGAAAGGAAGTGCCATTTTAACTAAACTGGAGATGGGGTCGTTGGGACAATTCTGCTGGCAAAAGAGAAGATATCTATCCATGGGTGTTGTCAAGGCAGAGGTCGTGACTCCCTCTGAATCCTGACACCTGTTATCATAGAATGTAACAGTTATTAGCTTATCAGTTAGTAAGCAAAGAAAGCTCACATCTATGGAGCATTAGGCATGTGCACACGTAGAGTGCTCATCCCTTTACACGTTAGTTATCTCCTGTGAGCTTTACAATAACACTAAAAAATAGGTACTATTATCCTCATTTTACATATGGGGAAACTGAACCTCACAGATGTTTCTAAAGTTGCCATTATTGTACAGTTAGGGAAAGGTAGAGCCACACTCAATCTTAAATCAGTCTGAACACCAAGCCAGTATTTCTATCCATGACATTCTACTACCTTAATGGAATGTGTAGAGGCTGGAGTTTTATTTACCTTAGAATTATCTTTGACTCTTCTTCTTATCCCTACATCCAGATGATCAAGCCTTGAGCTCTAGGCTTGTGGCTGCCTCGCATTCTATCTTGCTGTCTAGATGCCACTGTTACTGTTTCTCAAATTTACCCTTCTGACTTCGTTTCCTCAGGCACATGCTTTATTCAGACCTTCATATATGTATACTGGGACTTTAGCAATAGCCAGCTAGTCTCCCTGATACCATTATCCATCCTTCACACATTGCCAGAAAAGTCTCCTCCAAAGTCCCTTTGCTTGTGGCATTTTCATGAGGTTCCAGTAACTTCTTATTGTCTATCACATCAGAAATATGAAGGTTGGGCTGGACCACTTCACTCATTTCTTGGGGCCAGAAAAGTGATGGCTGCAGATCACCCAGCTGGTTGATGGTAGAGCTGGGATTAACATAAGGACCACCCTGACTCTGACCTTGGTACTTTCACCACTTCTCAATCCTGCCCGGGAAGCCACAGTACCTCTGCCTGATATCCACAGTCATTTACAATCTGGCCCTTCTGTACCTGCCCAACATTATGCCCTCTCTTTCCCCACACCTCTCCTCTAGCAGACTGGTGTTCTGTACACTATGCCAATAATGCCTACTTGATCCCGGGCCTTATGTTTTGAACACTGATTCATCATTTGAGATCCAGCTTGGGGCCCAAACCCTCCAGAACATCATTCACGGTTAAAGAAATTATTCTTGGAAGACTTTGCTCTCTGCACCTAAATTTAGTAGCTATTTTATAATTATTTCTCAGTTAGTCATTTTGGGGCCCCAGTGAGGTTCAGAACCTTGTCTTATATTGCTTTTATTTCTCCAGGGTACAGTTAACACCATGCTAAACATATAAGAAACACGATGTAAATATTTGTTGAGTGATCAGCTAATCAATCAATTGATAAATGCTGCTCCTGCTTTTATAGCTTTGAGCTATTACCCTATTACTCCCAAAAGAAACTAGCAGTGAGTGGAAATTACTTGGAAGAGGTTTTTTCCCCTCATCTTGAAAGAGCGGTGTATGTATTCAGTACTGAGGGCAGAGATATCAACCCCTACATGCCCAGGCTCCCAGGGAGCCCTTAACCCTTTCATAATGACCTTTCTTCAGCAGACAACTAAAGCATAGGATTACGCAGTACACTCACTGGGACCCCTCAGGTTCAGAGGAACCTGCTGAAAAATATATCAGAATAGCAGGACTAGCATCTTGAAAAGGACTTGAAAATGGTCAGTGTGCTCATAAAATTACATATTGCGAACACCCACCTAGCACCTCCTATGTGCCTGGTCCTGTTCTGTGCACATTCATGTGTTAACTCATTAATCCTTCCAGCAACACTGTGAGGTGTGCATTACTATTATCATCACTAGGCACAGAGACCGAAGTCATGTACCCAGAGTCTCAGAGCTGATATTGGAATGGAGGCCGTCTGGCTCCAGCATCCATGCTGTTAGCTGCCACACACCAGTGCTACCTGTGGAAGATCACTGCTGGTAAAGACCCCAGAAAGCATCTAATCTGCCTCCCTCACCGTGTGGAAACTGAATGCACAAACACTCAAAAATTTACCTTGAACTTTAACATACTAAATTACTGATTAGCCCAATGTGCTTTCTACCTCCATCTCATGGTCAAGTTCTCAGTTTTTCTAAGAAACCATTTCAGGATTTCCCTTTCCCAGCCCAGACGGGTCAAAG